TCTCTCTCATCGATGTTTCTAACTCTCTATCCCTCTCCCTTCCTCTCTGTAAAAAATCAATAAAATATATTTAAAAAAATAAAATAAATAAAAAACCCCGAAGAGACGTATGACCAGAACGGGCGACCTGAACGGGGTCCTGCTTGGACAGAGCAGCCGGAAATGATGTTTGGGGGGAAATCGCAGACATTCGAGAGGAGAGGGGGCCTGAGAGAGGAGGAGACATTTGCCCAAAAGTGCAAGTGACAGAACGCACACCCGGTCTGACCTCGTGTGGGGGAAAAGGGTGCGTACGAAGCCAATGCCTGAGCCGTCGGAACGGGTCTCCTGTCCCCGTCCCAGCAGAAAGCGGCCGGCACAACCCCCAGGGGTTTAACTGGAGCGAGTTTAATGCAGGGACCGTGCTCAGCGGGGAGGGACAGCGCCCCAGCTTAGCACAGGTGGGGAGCTGCTACCATCCTGCTGGGGGTCGGATCAAGCCCCCCCATCCCCCAAGGTCTGTTCACACCTCAGCCCTGGCACCTGTGGATGTGACGTTAGAAACAGGGTCTTTGCAGATGTAATCGAGTTAAAGTGAGGCCATAACGGGTGTCCCCGTAAGGAAAAGAGAGAGCCAGGGACGGGCACGATGCCACCTGGTGATGGAGGCAAGAGCGAGCGTCCACAGGTCAAGGAACCCCCACGAGGCCGGCAACGCCACCGAAGCCAGAGGCCCGAGGCCCGGGACCCGCCTTCCAGCAAACGAATTAATACACAACTCCAGGACGTCGAGGGGCAGGAGAGGGGTCCCTGTCGCCCGAGTCCCAAGAGACAGGGTCCCCAGTCGGGAGCTACGTGACAGCCACAGGTGTGCTTGGATGGCTGACCCCAGCCAGAATGCAGAGGGCAGGGGGCCAGCTCAGGGTCCTGCCTGGAGGGCAGAACATGGATGGGAGGGGCCGGTGGCCTTGGAGGAGGAGCCAGGATGGTCTTTGGTATTTGCCTCTGTGGTGGACTGAATCATGTCCCTAAAATGCCCGCTCCCTCATCCCACAGCCTGCGAATACATTCCCTCACCTGGCGAAAGGTGAGGCGATCTTGAGATGGGGCCTGTCTTTTAAAAATATGTGTACGTATTTGTATTGGTTTCAAAGAGGAAGGGAGAGGGAGAGAGAGAGAAACATCACTGACGAGAGAGAATCATTGATCGGCTGCCTCCTGCACGCGCCCCACTGGGGATTGAGCCCGTAACCTGGGCATGTGCCCTGACTGGGAATTGAACCTCCACCTCCTGGTTCTGATAAGACACTGCCTCTCTCACATCTGCCTAAACCTTATCACATTAAGACTCTAGGCCAGTGATGGCGAACCTTTTGAGCTCGGCGTGTCAGCATTTTGAAAAACCCTAACTTAACTCTGGTGCCGTGTCACACATAGACATTTTCTGATCTTTGCCACCATAGTAAAACACAGACTTATATTTTTGATATTTATTTTATATATTGAAATGCCATTTAACAAAGAAAAATCAACCAAAAATAATGAGTTCCCGTGTCCCCTCTGACACGCGTGTCATAGGTGCGCCATCACTGGTCTGGGATGTGGGGCGGGGGTGGAGGTCTCCTTGCTCCTGGGCCCAGCTTACAGGCACCTGGGTTCCAATCCCAGCTTAGCCTGCCACTCAGTTGACTTAACCCTTCCGTGCCTCAGTTTCCCCATCTGCACCACGGGGCTGGGGATAATCATACAACTAGCGCCCCCTGGGGTTGTGATGACGATGAAATGGATGAGTCCACGGGTTCACCCCGCAGCTGGCAAAGGCCCGGGGGAGCCGGTGCCCGGGGAACGTGCTGGGACCTGCCCTCGTGCGGTGCTGGGAGGTAATGGGCAGGTGGGGCTGTGGCACAGACGCCCGGCTGAGCTCAGCGTCTGGC